TAAGTGAATAGCGAGTAAACCTATTTCGATTACAAGTTCATACATGTAAAATCCTTTCGACATCCAATTTCTCGATTAAATCTTTGGGTATGATTTTGTCGAAACCCAAATATTTAATAACTATGATTCCATTTCAAGTTTAGTAATTCATTTATGAATCTCTATTCATCCCGCCTTGGCCAAGGACTTTGAATTACTAACTATGAAACACATAGGAAATTCACTTATCTTCATAAGTGTCGAATCCTTTGTTGACCATTGACAAACTTCCATACATATTAATATAATACCCAAAATATCCCTTTATACGATTGTGCTAACAATCAAAAGAATAAATCAAAGTAAAATATAATATGCACAAAGTTATCATCGTGCCTCAAGTCTAAGGATTAATCATGTACTATTGTAACATGAAAATTCTTATTCGACATGATAAACTTTCATTAACAATTTTCATACGGTCATATTCAGTGAACTTGTTCTCTAACAAGCACCCACATATATGTATTTGCGTCCCACGCTAATGTTGATGGAATGCAACATTCTTATCCAATAAGCATACATACTATGTGCAAGTCTTTTCCAGATTTATTCGATATCCCATCTCGAAACATCCAACGACTTGGAACTGTATTTAAGATTACAGCTTTCAAGATATGTTCCATGATCACCATCTCTATGCGCAACCATATCTTATAGCTATAAGTGATCTAGGGATTTTATCTTAAGTGCAAATATATGATAAATGCTTACTCTTAAAATAAAGTAATGCTTTATTATTTAATATAATTCCAATAGATTGTATTTACAAGTAGAATACGTCCAATCTGATTGGAACGCCGGGTATACTACTCCAACACATTTGACCTCAAAATCATGTGTCAATTCTTCTGAAAGCTTCATATCTAACTGCTTGGATAATCGTACCTCTGTGTCTGACGACATCTTCACATTGTCTCCAGTGATTAAAATGTCGTTTACGCACAGTACAAAAATACCAACACGCTTTTGTTGCGCAATACATAATTCTCATTTGGTGAATGATCAAATCCTTAAATTGGACTCATCTACCAAACGTACCAAAGCTTACCTCAGTCCACTAATGAACCATTTCAGCTTACAAAATAGATGCTCTTAGCCCTTTTCAATGAACACTTCTGATTGTTGTTCTATGAATATTCTAACAACACCTCTGGTTAAGGAAAATATCTTAACATCCTCTTTGCCTAATCTTTATAACTCATATGAGTGGCAACACCCAAAAATTCGACAATCTTAAGCAAGACTACTGGTGAAAAGGTTAACTCATAATTGATATCATTCTTTCTGTGTCTATATTTCACACCAAGCCTTGCTCCAAAGTCCTCACGATTTTACTTGTAAATTTCGCCCAATGACTTTTACGCCACTCGGAGGTTCTATAAGACAACAAACCTGATTAAAGTCCAAGACCCTAAATCAGGAATCATTGACACTTTGATGATTCTGCATCCTCGTCTAGGTGCGCCTCAGTGTATAACTAGGGATTAGTTTATATATATATATAAATTAAGATTTAATCATTTTAGAAACTTTTTCCCATCATAAACATTAATTTCATACTAAAAATAATAATTTAAGAAAAATACATATATGTGAAAAAGAAAAGGCATTAACTGTATTCATTGTAGTTGCCGTGCAAAATAGATTCTGGATTGCATTTGACTACTATTCTGTTAGTAGATTTATTAGAAACATACAAATTTATTTAGAGTCAAATCATTTTGATTTTATCATGATTCTTTTTTATGATAACAATTTTGTGAAGTATTTTATCTTCACAACAACATATTTTAAAAAAATCAGCGATTTGCAATGGAGTCAGAGTCAAATCATTTTGAACGTGACAATATTTTTTTAAAGATTAATTTAGAAATTTCTTCTTAAGATTGGAATGAATTGTACAATAATAAAAAATAAAAGTAATAGAATAAAATGAATATGGACAAAATCACTCTTTATTAACTACAAGATTTGCAGTAGTGTGAGATATACACAAATTCTTTTTATTTTATAATTCTTAAAAACAAAATTTTTGAAATTCTATATCGCAGATAATTTTATATTTTAGTAAGAATATTGTTTTAAAAAAGTTACTTTTACATTATTTCCTCAAATGAAATGGAATATGTGCAAAATAGAAATGATAGGATAGAAGAGAAATAAACAGTATCATATGCAATATTACAGGTCATATTCACAATATTCAACTGATATACAACAAAGATAGACAATGTTTTATATGTATAAACAATGTTTTTATATATACTATATAAATATTCTCTCATAAACTTACTGAGGTATTTTAGCCCATATTTTTAGATACATATTAACTATTTAGGGTTGAGTTCAAGTGAGAAATGTGCTTATGAAAGACATAAGAATAAATTGGAGCCATTAGATTGAATGATCCAATGGCTAAAAAATAGCCAAAATTGGGAATGTGGTAATTGTCCACACGCAAATAATGGGACTCACACTCTACACACCCATCTCATACGTAGACCCCACCCAAAGCACCCCAACCCATTTCTCTCTCCTCCCCTATCCCGAACCCCCACTGCGTCTTCTTCCCATGTCCAACCACCACCGTCCATCGTTTTCGCCTGCCGTCGCAGACGCTAAACTCGCACGACCAGAGGCGGCGTCGCGGGGTGGAGCCTCACTAGGAACTCGATCACCATCGTGTTGTCTGACATGGCTGCGGGGCCACTCCTCGTCGGCGTCACTCATGGCCGTCGTCCAAATCCCACCATCGCTACCTTCATCTCCCTCCTCAGTCGCCCTGTATAAATCTGTCTTTGCACATTTCTGCTGCCGTCGGCTTCCAAATTCGGCTCGATGATGTCCGACGAGTCGGTTTCTCCGCCATCCCCACCGCCGGCTCCACAAGTCCCGACGCCGGCACCGTCCGCCTAGACCAGAGATAGAAGCAAGCAGGACAAGAATTAGGGATTGGGAAATTTTTCACAATTTAGGGAAAGGACTACCATTTGAAAATTAGATAGAATCAAAGGACTTATTTGCAAATTAATAAACTTTAAGTATAATGCATTTAGTTCATGGATTAAATTTATAAATTAATAAAAGTTGATAGTTGCACTTTAATGTTCAGTGCATTGCACCATATCATGTTCAAAATTGCACATTAAAAATATCACTATACAGACTGCATCATACTGTTATACAAATTGCACTTTGTTGCATGTGATATTGCACTTTATCGCAACAGTGCGTTTTGCGCAATGACTAAATACCTCGCGGGAAAAATCAAAAGTCTACTTATTTACAGAAATGTCACCGCGTGTTTGACTAATGTTGGACACTTTGACCGTGTAGAGCATTGATATATCACATTTAAAGGGTATGATTCATTTTGATTTCTTTCACTATCTCTCTTCGTATGATCCCTTCTCTAACCATCTATATCTATATATGCACATATATGTGCATATATAGATATAAAATTTAAGTGCTTTTTTTGACATTTTTTCTTTAAAAAATAGTTTAGAAAATATAGGTGACATTTTTCAGGAATAATTATACAATGTTTTAGATATTTTTATTTATGTTAAAACATGTTTTAGGTGCTTTAATATTTATGTTCTTTTGTAGAAAACAAATTTATATTGTTTACAACAAACTGATATACATAAATTATATCACGCGTTAACTCCAAATATTTTATTAATAACTATTATTTACACAATTCATAATTATTATTTAATATTACTACCCGTGCATCGCACGAGATATATACTAGTATTGTATAACAAACCAACTTAATAATAAAACCACCAATACAATTTTGGAAGAATTATTAAAAACTTGAAATTTAGAACTGTTCAAATATTTATTTACTTATTTAAAAAAATATATCATTTGCAAATTTTGTGCAATACTCAATCTTAATAAATTTAATGATATACTTTCAAATATGTATCAGAAAAATTTAGATAATAATCTTTATGTTTACAGTTTAAGATAAAAAAACTTAAATCCTCTACATCCCCCTATATATAATTTCAGAATGTGTCGAGACTAATGGCGTGCTCGCATGCTTAGGAGTCTTACGTGACTTTTATGTTTTGTCATTTGACTTGGATGAATTTTAATTTACTATATAATTATGGACATTTTTAAGAGTGTTACTATTATTTCCGATTTTATACATGATTTGTAAGGCATAATTTGTTTCCTCAATCTTTCTTTTAAAAAAAATTATAAAAAAAAATATTTAAATTATAAGTAGATTTAGAAATTAATAAACTTTTCATTTATTATGGATATTTTTATACGTAATATATCGAAATAATCATTTTTTATGAGATTCGATTTGACACATATATTGTACATACAAATTATTAAATAAATAAATATAGTTTATCTTTGTAATAAAAAATTAAATTAACTTTTAATATTAATTAAAAATATATAATTATTTAAATTAAATTAACTACAAATTTGTTAAGTGATAGAATTTAAATAAATATTATAATATAAGACAGTAGCCGTATAAGTTATGCGTGTTATTTTAAACATAGATAGTAATATAGTTATTCACAAATGTATTTATAAATTAAATTAATTTTTTATTATTTTTAGTTGTAAATATAAATTTCTTAACAAACACCCGTGTAATACACAAATATTGTACTATTATTATTTTACATCAATACTCATTCAATATACAAGTGTTTAACAAAGATGAAATGACAAACTTCTCCAAGAAATATAAAAGAAAAGTGAAATAAACCAAAAGAAAATGATTTTGATCATTTGCTTTGCCATGAAGCGTTTTTCTAGTTTGAGGTTAAAGTGAGAAAAAAGAAGAAAGTTAGTGAGGGGAGTAGCTTAGTATATATTGCTTCAAAGGTTGTTAATTAACCATGATTGCGCACATTGTACCTCTACTTGCATTCTACTCAACAATTCTTTCATTCATATCTTCACCCCATCTCACCACCTACATGACATTCGTCTGTTTTTCACACACAAACACACACACACACACACATACACACACACACAGATACAAAGAGATAGAGAGAGAGAGAGAGAGAGAGAGAGAGAGAGAGAGAGAGAGAGAGAGAGAGAGAGAGAGAGAGAGAGAGAGATGGCATGTTTTGAAAGGGCTTCACCTGCAGTGAAGGAAATTCTTCTCAAAATACACAGGTCTTGATTTGTCTAATTATTGTGTCTATCTATACTTCTAAGAAGTTAAATTGTTGCACACAAAATGGAGGCTTGCATGCATCGGTCACGAAAAAATATATATCGTCACCTGTTTGATAAAACATTAATTTTTTGACAGAGCCGACAGGCCCATGGAGATAGATCACCACGTGCACGAATTTGGCTCCATACACTACCATCTTCGGGTAAATAGCAATGCCTATACACTCATTTTTTAACACTCAATCATGTCAGCTGATGTTTAGCTTCCGATCCTAACAGTGTTCAGCATCAGATCCAACATACACCTATTTGTCAGTGTCAACACCTCTTCTATCTCAAGGACTCCCACTCTCATCACTACTTCCACAGTATAGCCGAGATATGGTTACACAAATTTGCCCTCAAGTTATCGAGACTGTTGAGCCTCCAGAAGAAGGTTACCAGCTAACGTTGAAGCTCAACTTCTCAAAAATCCCACAGGGTAAAGGTAGCTCAAATCATTCATGCCTTGGTCCCCCTTGTTTTTGTAATTAACACACATTATACTGGACACCAATTAAATGATAAAACTAATTTCGTATTTGTATGAATTTTTCCAGCCTCCACAAAGATGATCACAGACATATCCTCGGTCCAAGCAGTAATCCTCAGCTCCCAACTCAAAGACATTTTAAAGAATGTTGATTCACATGAAAATTCTCAAGGAACGTACAAACCAATCAAACTCGTGTATCATCCTAGGGAACCATTCTTCATAATCAAACAGGTAAAACTTTTATCACTACCTGGACATTTGATGAAACAATTGCTCGTTCAAGATAACATAAACGATACATCATAGAATATGCTAGTCTACCTACAAAGTGGAGTTCGTCTGAAAAACATAAAAATCAACGCAATATTGAAACTAAAAAAAAAAAATTATGACACAATCTATTTCAATAGACTTACCTAATGTGGATTAACTCCTCAACAGCCCATGAAAACTACTGCAATATTCCCAATGCGTTTCAAGGAAAATGAAGATGTAATTATTGCTACAGCCTTCTTTCAGGTAACTCGATCTGCCTGTAGTGAACTTAGGTCCTTCTGTCGTAAGTCACGAGTTTTATGTGCATCTTAATTGGAGTTTTATCATTTATACTTCAGGAACTTGATGATATAGGAAGTTCGGAGGCATATCCCAAGGCTCCGCATTGCACGTGGTCTCCTATTCCACCTCTGGAGCTAAGGGGAGAGTCTATTGAAGACCTGAGCACTAATTGTGGATTTGTATCTTTTGGTACGCATTACAAATTTACAATCCCATTACTATACGCGTGACTGTGCATATGTTCACATGTAAAGTCACCGTGATATTTGCTGGTATTAACAGCACGCCATAGGGAAGGGAGTATTAATAACATAATAATAATGTCTTATTTTTTTAGACGAAAGATAAATGAGGATTTTTGTATATTTAGCCTTAATATTAATCACCTCATTGGCCAAATTGACAAGAACTTTTTTCAGATATCACATCACGCCATGTGAAAGGCAAGAAGCTAGACAAGACTGTGTGGAACCTACTCAATTTCTGTACATTGGTTAAATATCATGTAAAGGTAAAGAATCCTCAGAGGCTATACACTTAATTAGACTTTTGGCCATATCCTCACGGCTAACTTACTCTAAACCAGAGCACGAGATGCTTTATCCAAAGAAGGATGAGAACTCGTCTCCAAGGGTTGGTTCAGGTAATCAAATCGATATCTAAAACTGAAGTATGACAAATAGCAAGACCGAAAATAGTGTATCTGAAGTTACGACTCTCCTAATTATGCAAGTCGAAAAATCATTTAGTAAAGGTGAGTGCATTAATGAACTAATCTGCTCGTGTTACAGCATCTAGAAGATGTGGAAGTTGAAGAGGATCAACACAATAAAAAGAAGGCCCGAGGTATGCAAAGAATTGCTTTTTTCGAAACAAATATTATGTTACATGTGGACAACAAATCCTGCTCAAGATAAATATTCTGATGCAGGATGGAAAAGATTCAGAAAATGTATACGTGCCTCAAAAACAAAAATACTAAAAAGAAAGTATGACCTCGCAAATAAAATCAACAGAATCCGCTCAAGAATCAAGATACATTTTTTCAGCCGTTTCCAAAGAGGATGGCTGAGAATGCCTAAATTTTCTCCAGTGACGAGGTATATAAAACTTGAATGAATAGCTTCTAGTTCGTTTAGTGTTAGTAACTTTATTTACAATGTTGTTCGACAATGCCAATACTTGTATACCTGGAAATCGACTGTTGTTCCTAAGGAGAGCTATTTCTTAGAATGCAATAAGGTGAACTCTAAGATTGAAGCAGAGAGCTCCTTTTCAAGATCCCACCTTTTTTTTATTTCTTCTTTATATCAGAAACACATATTATAGCTGACACATTAGCCATGGAAAATCATTTGAAATATCTAAATTGATTAAATCTCACTGGTAGTCAATTTGAGAAAAAACTTCCTGCCTGACGGAATATTTTATAGATTATGCACGAATATACGACCTCTGTTGAGGAAAAAGTTGCCCCAAAATAAAAAAAAAGGGAAATTCAAGTTTGGTTATATTGTTTCACAAACAAGAAAATAAGTAAATTCAAACATGTTTTCTTTCTCAGACGAAAACAGTATCTTGTTCCAAGTATACTCTCCAAAACTAAAACGAACCATGAAGGTGCTGCATGTCACAGGCTCAATGTCCTTACTCCAAAATAACAAGATTTGGCTAAAATTTATGTCACAAAACTAGTATGAAGCAAATAAAGTTTCACTCAAACAGGCAACTGTGGTTAAAGTGCAATGCAAAACACCGACCCAAGGGTTATAACAAAAGCAATGAGGACATGTTTTGCGAGATGCGCCTAACTGGTGTGTGCAACCATAAATAACCAATATTTGAAGTGAGACTTAAATGTCCATTGCAAATAGAGCTGGACGAGTCATTGTTGATAATTCTCCTACCATAGTGCTAATAATGGACTAGATCAAAATGGCTCAATTAAATTCTAGTGCTTCTTCTATTAGTGAAGTCTCTAGAAAAAAAATATACCAAACGACGTAATGCACCTTGGGTCGCTACGGAAACAGCCTCCTTGTATAATTACAAGGGTAAGGTCTGCGTACAACTGACCCCCCAGACCCCAACCTGTTGGGAATATACTGGGTAATGTTGTTGTTGTATTTGAAGTGAGACTTAGGCACACTTCAGACTGAATCTCATGACTGCCATGGTATCTGGAAAAACGAAAAGGGGAAGAAAAGTTACTACACTTTCACATGCATTGAGTATTGAAGCTATAAATTTTCTGCAAAAAGCAACCATTCTAACTAACATTTTATATTTGGAGTTCTATAAGCCTTAAAAGTGGATTATGTACAAAGCTAAAAAAAAATACAGAGAGTACAAGTAATGGCTTAAATGATCTAATCATAACACAGTCGGAACAAGCAATCCTCTAAAGGATCTTATCTCAAAAAGATAATCAATACTTTTGCTGTAACAGAGTGATTCTGTTGTTCGCTCGAGAAGGAAGATGAAAGGGCAAGAATTGGTCAACGATAGAGGAGGGAAAGAGAAGAAAGCACAGTTGAATCTTTGAAACCTGCCCCTAAATGGATAATGTATTTGTTTGCGACCCAAGAATGCACCCCTAACGCGATGGAAACCCTAGCTTCCATTAGATAAATTTTTTCTAGAATTTTTCTAGAATAGTACTTTTCACATACATTTAACGCAACAACCGAAAGTAACGAGCTTAGATCAAAATTGGAACAAGCGCACTTGTCTCCTACCTTTTCCATGATTATGTCGATAAATGGAGCAAACATTTCATATAATATTAGAAATATTGCAAGTTAGATGCTATATATAGCAGAAATATTGAACTTGGAAGGTGGGAATATCGAGGTTTGAATTGCTTCTGTAATGTAAAGAACAATGTCCAAAACACAAAACAACAATAAAATCATAGTATGAGAAAGAACAATGTTTAAAATACAAAGCAACAATAAAATCGTAGTTTGAGAACAAAGACATCTTTCTCAGGCCTCATGGTTAAAAATCCGTGTTAAACTTAATGAGAAGAACCTTAATGAGAAGGATGGAACTACTGAGAAAAATCCTTGTCAAACTGTAATGAAAAGGATGGAACTACTAAGAACAATTCATGTTTGACACCATACATAAAATATATCTCACACAAAAGACTATTGATCCAACTGCAAGTAGATTGGAGGGAAGTGTATGCTCAATCAAGTTCCAGAGCTTCACAAGCATGATTGTTTAAACTATATGGTTTGACCATTCTTCATACATGATATCGACTTTTTGCTGATTTTTCCCTCCTGGAGTCATCCTATAGAATCCCACGGGAAAAAAGAAATAATGTGAGAAAGAGTCACGGAAGTGCCAAGACACTAATGTAAAACACACACACACGCACACATACGTACATGGAAACTGTAGGAAATCTTATCAGTGACATCGACAATCTCTTTCCACTTCTTCCCAATGCCCATCTGCATTGCAAAACTTGATCGAAAAATTTGTATAAAATGAAACTTCATGAGGAATGTGGAGCATAAAGGCTCAACATTCTATATGTTCTCAACAGCAGCCCATAAACAATTATAGCTATATCTAAACACAAACTGACACGTGCCCAAGCATGTGTTCACAGAAGTGGAGGGGAAAACGAAGATGTTTCATCCCTCAAAAATTATCACACGATATGCTAAATTATTCACCAGAACTACTCACATTCAAACCTTAATTCTTTCTCTCACACTAAACCATTTCAATATTGGTGGCTATTAGACTATTAGTGTGGCAATTATAGGGTGCTCATATGAGACTTGGGAGGTAATTAAAATGACACACAGTTGCTGTCTCTATTCAAAAACTGACATGGAAAAGGGCCTCTAACATTACTAGATAACTGGAATACCCAATTAATGAATTAATAAGTATATTCGTTTGCGACGTCAGGCGGTTCTATGAAATATGCAAGCTACAGACTGCTTTGTATGTCAATATAATATTTTTCAGTGGGGTTTATTTTCAAGCGATTTTAAACTACATCAAGCAGACATCTATCTAACTCAAATACCTGAGCTGCTTCATTGGCTGCATTCTTGGTCCACAACGAGAGTTTATCTTGCCGTTGGCGCACACTGGCAACCACTCCGCATATCTCATCAGCCTCATCAAATTGCTCCCCAATTAAAGACATTAACTATAGGACAAAATGCAGCAGCCAAAAGAAAAACAAAAATAGTCAAGTGAGAAGATAATAAAACCCAATGCTTTGGTCAATCAGCATGTTAGACTCTGGAATCACAACATAAATTAGGACCTGCCCAATTAACAATAGCAAAGAGTGAACTGAGTAACAACTGGAAGAAACTCGTAAACTAGAAAAATATGGATGACTGGATGTCTTACAGTTTCAAGCCACATGGTATCCAGATCAGCCTTCTTGCTGCTAGTTACAGTCCACTTTCCCCCATTAGCACACTCTGGGTCCTCCCACTTGGGCTCCACTCCAGATCTGAATAAATGAAAGTCGGAAGGTGCGGGGAACTTGCTTGGTTTGAATATCTTGTCATATAAACTGCAAGAGAAATCACCACATCACTTTATAAGTGATAGAAACTCTTCACACCACATTCAGTACACAACAAAACCCAAATGGGAAATGCATCATGTCATCAT